AAAAAAAAAAAAAAAAAACGGGGCTGGGAAGATAGATCAGTACAGTGTGTACCCCATAAGCGTGAAGGCCTGCATTTGATCCCTAGCACCCATGTAAAAGGCCAGGCATGATGGAGTGATTTGTTATCCCCGTTGGGTGGGGTGGGGTGGAGACAGGCAAATCCCTGGGGTCTGCTGGCCAGCCAGCATGGTCTAATCAATGAACCCAAGGGCCCAGTTAAGAGACTCTCTCAAAAAACAAGTTAGACCGCTCCTGAGAAAGGACAGCTGAGGTTGTACCATTACACACACACACACACACACACACACACAGAGAGAGAGACAGAGACAGAGACAGAGACAGAGACAGAGACAGACAGACAGACAGAGAAACACGCACACAGAGGCACATAGATAGATAGATGATAGATAGACAGACGGACAGATGGATAGCATTGGGTTATCCATTATATATTTTAAAAGGGATAACTTATAAACATGAATTTAAATATTGTGCTTTGAAAATGGATAATAAGGTTTGGATTAATGTTGAATACGGACTTGAAAATATTTACAATATTTTTAAAGAAAGAAGAATGTGAATAGGACTTAGGGAAGAAAACAAAATAACAAGTACAGCATGAACAAGCTTCTCTAGGGCAACTGCTTGCTTTTTTCCATGATAGGATAATCACTTTCTTTCTCAAGGGAAATACTGTTGACTTCATCCGTGTGCTTAATGCCAGCTAGTGAAAACGGAGAACCACAAGCAGGTAGAATGGCAGTTTGTCTAACTGAACTCACTGGCTTGGGGTGTGCGTGCATGTGTGTGTGTGTTTGTGTGGGTGGGTGCATGCTTTTGTGTGTGTGTGTGTGTGTGTGTGTGTGTGTGTGTGTGTGTTTGTGGGTGCATGCTTTTGTGTGTGTGTGTCTGTGTCTGTGTGTGTGCATGTGTGTATGATTTTAAAGGTTCCACATTAAGTGAGGTGGTAGCTCATACTTTTAACCCTAGCACTTAGGAGGCTGAGGCAGGAGAACTGAGTGTACCTCTGAGGACAACTTGACCTATGGAGTGAGTTCCAGGCCAGCCTGGGCTCCCGTGAAACCCAGTCTCAAAACCAGACCACTGACAGGTTCCACGTGGTTTTGAATCTCACTTATTCTCACACTGCAGATGCAGAGCTATAGAGTCTAACCAGAATTTATGCCTCCAGTTAGAGTACCTTAGTGTTCTAGCTTCCTTTCCTCAGCTGGGATAAAAACAGTCTCACCAAAAGCGACTTAGGGAGCAAAGGGTTCATTTGATTTAGACTTCCCAGTCATAATCCATTGAGAGAAGTCAGGACGAGGAACTCAAGCCAGGGGCAAGACAGTAAGACTGCTTGTTATTTCGTGCAGCATTAACTCCCACCAGGGAAGGTAATGCTCGGCTAAGTTTTCTTACACAGCCAAGCACCATACTGCTCACAGTGGGCTGGACCCTCTGTATCAATTAGGCATCAAGACAATGCCCTACAGACATGCTTATAGGCTAATCTGATCTAGGTAATTCTTCAAGTGGGGTTCTTTCTTTCTAGGTGACTCTAGGTTGTAGCAAGTTGACAATAAAAACTAACCAGGACACTTAACATTTGTAAAGTGAGAAGTTTGATATAACAACCTAAGACCTATCTAGCCTCCAAGTCTAATTGCATTTGGTACAAACTGCTAAATTTGTTGATACTACATTGGCCTGGGTCTGGGCTATTAGCCAAAGGTGGATAAACTAACAAAATAGTGCAACGTCCTCCTCTATGTCACTGAAGATGAATCTGTTTTTATGGCCAGTCCCTTAGTTGGCACCTGGCAAATCTGACAGCCACATGACTGACAGTTAACTAAGGGAGACACCCCCCCCCAGCCCTGCGCCCCCACCCCACACATGGAGGCCCAAATTACTCAGGGTCAGAGAATCTGAGCTTGCTTTACCCAGCAGACCTGCATAAGGGGATGATTTGACCATGGGCATGGTTGCCAGGTGTTTGGAAGAGTCTGCACTTGGCTGTACAGTGTGCTTTCATCTAACAGGGGGAGGTCTTTTGCCCCTCCCCTTGGCATTATTATAAATAGCCCTTTTGAATAAACTTCTGGGCCGGTAGATTTTGATCCAGGTCCTCCCAAAGCTATCCTGTGTTTCTGTCTGTCTCGTCTCTACTGTCCTCCTATCTAAAAGGTTCTTATTCCTCTCTCCTCATAGGAACCCTTGAAAAGGTGGGAGCTGGCCTCCCCACACCCCCCCACACAGTGTTTCTACATGTTTCATGTGCATATTTCGATTGTTTCTCCTGGAACTATACCAACTCCCATTCCCCTGGCCAATACTGTTACATAATTCAATATATTCAACTCTTCTCTGTCCTGCTTCCAAATGACTTTAGCTGGTTTTCTTCTCATCTTTTAGGTCCCTTATTCCTCCTGCCTTTTCTATCCTTAGTCGTTGAGTTTTGGAATTACTCATTTCTCTACTGAACTAAGCTTTTCATATATAATATGAGGTTAATGGCATTTTATTCCTCACAGTATTGTGCCATTAAGATTATGGTGTAAAGAATTTAGTACGGTATCCCAGACATACATTCTTCTAAAGTCGTGCTACTCCTCCTCAAGTAGGTTGATGAAGGCCTGCGTTCTATTGTTGATTCTTCCTCCTCCACTCTGTTGAGAGGCTTGTCATGTGCCCCTGTATATCTCTGGAAACCCAGTCATGGTTTCATGGGGCTTTTAGAAAAAAGACAGTCTCATCCTCTGCCACTCTTGCCTCTCTGATGCTTTTTATCAAACAGACTTCAAGGTCCCTGGGCCATGTTCACTCCAGGAGGGCTCTGGTCCACACTGTTTCCCTTGTTTGAAATACTCTGAGCTAGTTGACTTCTGGGCATCTTTCAGATTTCTTCTGAAAAGTCACTTCCTCCCAAGTCTGGCTGCTCTCTTTTGCATTCTCTGTTAGCACTTCAGTTTGCAGCACAGGCTTGCACAAGTGATTATTTACAATTCCCATATATTTATTTTTGACATCTCTAAGCTCCCGTTAGATGTCTCACTCAAACCTATTCCTTTCCTTCTGTTTTCATCTCAGAAACTCCATTATTGTTTCAGTTGCTTGGGCCAAGAGCCTTGGATTCTCATTTCACACTCACGGTTTCTATCTGCAAATGCTACCGCTTCCCCGACCAACCACTTACTGCCCCACCCCACCACTTACCCCACTTTCTACTACTAACCACCATGGCCAAAGCCACACTGTCCACTTGGGGATTGTTCTAGTACACTTTCACACATCTTGATCTTTCTCTGCCACTGACCTCCCTGCCTACAGAGCAATTACATTGGTCCTCTGTGTTGGCTACCTAGAGCGACACATGTGTTGTTGGGTAATTTTGACTGATCACTGTAGAATGTATGTACTCAAACCTACACGGTACATAGTTTACACCATACATGCACGATGCGGGCATAGCCAGTTTCTCTTAGGCAACAAAACTTGCACAACCTTAGCGATCTGAACACTGCATGCTTAATATAATGCTACGTGTGTATCCAAACAGAAAAAAGTACACTAACATAGGGATATGGATTTTTCAGCTCCGTCATGACATTAAGTGACAGGTTTCCTGAACCATCACTAAGCTGGACATGATTTCTGTATGTAAGATGTTCTTCCTTCCTGGAACTCTTCAGGGATTCGACAGCTGCTATGGACTAAACTGTGCAGCCCAAGCATTTGTAGTTGAAGATACCTCCACCCCCACCCCCATATGATTGAATTGGAAAGGAGGTTTTTCAACAGTTACCTTAAGGCTAAATGAGCTCATGGGGATGAAGCTGGGGTCAATACCATGTGCCTTTATGAGAAAAGGGGGCAGCAGCAGACGGGTCGCTCCACTGTGTAAGGCCGAAGCGAGGAGGCAGCTGTCTGTCATCAGAGTCCTCACCTGAACCTAAGCATGCCAGGACCCCGATCTCAGACTCAGAGAACCCCAGAACTATGAACAAAAAAAAGTATTTTCTGTTGCTTAAGCCATCCAGTCTGTGGTATTTTACTACGGAAGCCTGAACTGCCATTCCACTCAGAGTAAAAGCCAAAGTATATCCAACAGCCAGAGGCTTGACGCATTCCCCATGTCCTCAAACACTGACCGCCATTGCCTTTGATTCTTCCCGCCCCTTAAGTTCCAGTCAGAGTGCCCTGCATGCAATTCCATGCCAGGCCTACTCCCACTTAGGGGGCCTTTGCTTTCTCTCTTTAGATCGGTCCAAAATATTTGCATAATATTCTTTCTCGCTCAAAGGTCGCCTCGATGGTGTCATCCTAAGGAAGATTTACCATGCCAATCCCATCCCCTATAACCCTTTCCCTTAGCATTTGCTTCTGATAGACAGGCGTTGCATCTTATCTCTTTACCTTAACCATTCTCAAAATGCCCATGAGATGGATTTAGCTCTTTTTCACGGATTTTCCTGAGAGCACAGGGAAGCTCATAGCAGGTGTTTCAACATTTGTTCAACAAATTAATGTTGCATTCTAACAGCCATAAATTAGCTTTAGGCTGAAAGGCTCAATACAGAGCTGTTACTAGGACAGCGTTCCCTAGTAGAAAAATTATACTGCTTGAAAGAACACGTGATTTTTCTGGCCTCTTCTGGTTTTCCGTTAATACTAGGAAAGTTCAAGGGGGTTTTAGAAGCCCCGAGTGCAAGAGCCAAGATCTGTGCTTTTTGATTTCCATCTTTAAAATACAGATAATGGTAATAAGCTGATAAATTGTCAAGGGCAATTAAGATCGCAGCTGAAGGTTTTTAAAACTTTGGCTGCGTTTTCCATCTTTTCGTTTTTGCAAACCAAGGCTCTGAGGTCTTTGATACTTTGATCTCGCTTAAAGTATTCGGCAAGAGGTGGTGTTTATTCCTACAATTCTCTAAGCATGGAGTAAACACATAACATAGCAGACAATGAGCCCAGGAAACTACTTGCAGTGACTCACTTTCTCTTAGGGCTTTGGAGAGGTGGTAAGTTAAAGGCGAATACTGAGACTAAGACAGGTGTCCCTCCTTTACATTTTCGGAGAAATCAAGCCTGCAGAGCAGGAGTGGCTTTTTGTGTCCAACCTGAGGAATTCTTCCCCACCGCAGCCAAACGGAAAACCCCCTTGAAATTGTAGCATCGGTTGCTGCCGTCACTTTATTCCGAGAGAGCTGCGTTTCCTAACAGCGAAGTTAAAAATTGTCTTCCAACCTCGGAACGAGGTTCCCTGGCCACCTTCAAACCCCGGCTTTTTAAAGAAAAAAAAAAAAAAATCAAGGTGTCACTCCAGCGTGGACACACCCACCGCATCGCGGCTGGAATTACTCTTTGGTTATGCAAATCTAAAACGCGGGCGCCGGGTACCCGAGACCAGCTGGGCGCTCGCCCGCCCGGAATGCGCGAGCGCGCTCACAGGCCCCCGCCGGGAGCGCGCACGGCCAGCGCCTCCGGAAGCGCGCGCGCGCGCGGGGTCCAACAGGAAAGCCCCCCAGCATCACCCCCGCAGCCAAAAGCGCCGCGGGCCTGGGTACCACGCGCCCTCAGGGAAACCGCCCACAGGCCCGGGCGGCAGCATCTCGCGAGATCTTGCCTGGCTCGCCCCAAGTACTGCGAGTTTAGAACTTAAAAAAAAAAAAACAAAAAAGCAAAAAGCGAAAGGAGTCCGCAGAGCCGGTGCTGCCGGGGGTGGGGGGCGAGCATCAGCGGCGGCGGCGGCTGGCACCGGGGCCCGGGCGGGCGG